TTATGCACATAAGTGAAAGCAGAAAGGGAAGATAAGCTACTTGGCTTTCCCGCGGTTGTTTACTTCATCCATTTTTTATACTAATTAAATAGTTTACTAACTGTCTTTTAAATATTAATTTCTAACTATCGTTGACCCTCTTTTAATTGAACAAAATTAATTTATGCTTAATATTATATTTAATTTGTAGATATTGTAAAAGTTTTGCAGCACATGTGAAGGTACGAATTTCCTTCAAAATTTGAAGACTGCTGTCTAGCCTAGAATAACAATAATTAGGGAATACTTCCGACATCGAGCCTCGGCATACTTGATCTGAAGCATTTTACGACACTGATAAGTCACTTTTCCTCTACCAGATCATACTCAGTTTATTACATGTATACGTTGATATTTTCTCATACAATGATTATATTAAATAACTTGGTTTCTATTTACAAGATTCTATTGAAATATAAATATATATATATATCGTTACCCTTCATATATGTTCTCTACACGTGTCCCTATCATCATATTGACAAATCCCTTCCACCAGATAAATCACAACCAAATCTATTCAATGGCCATATTACAGTCATTACTTTCCCAACTACCAACCCTTGACTTATAGGACCAAACGTATTTGAATCAATTGAATGAATTCCATTATCGCCTTCAACCCATAAATGATTTCTCGGTATTCTCACTTCTGGTTTAGGATATGGTGGTGATTTAGGACGAATTAAATCACCTTGTAATCCTATAACTCGTTTAGTTAATAATTTTTCTGGATTTGATGGCGATCTAAACATAATAATATCACCTCTATCAAGAGAACTTGGTTTCTTTAAATTGAATTTCTGAACAATTACAATATCATTAGTTGTTGTTTCAGTACCGGGATTAAAAGTTGGTGTCATTGAAAATCCACTTATTTTATATGGTTGATATCCATGATTGGTAAAGGTGTATAAAACTGGAAACCAAGTAAACGTAATGAAAGCAGTTTTAACACCTTGTGGTATCCTGCTCATCCTGCTTGACTCCCTATATGTTTTATAAGTATCTGTGTGTATGTCTATTGTAAGTTTACTAAGCGGTTTAGTCATATTTTGTTTTTCATGTGGGAAAGAACCACAGAGAAAATTTGGTTATAAAAATAATTAAATTCCGTAGTAAGGGACCGATTTCCCGTAGTAGAAATTTACAACGAGTAGAACCACTTTTGCTTATAGAATTAGTGCTAGTTTGAAATACGATCCAAAGAGATCTTCTTCAAAAGTTGATTGATGTGAAAGTTAATTAAATAATCTTCCATTTCACTGTTTCACTTATTCCCCCCCTTACCCTCTCTCATTTCGCCTCTATCTTGTGATGAACTTTTTTTTGTGAGGAGGAACCTGGAAATTCTTTGCTCTTACATCATCTTTATATCAACCCCACATAAACCCCCCATAACGAAACTATCCACCCAGTTTCATCCTAATCATATATAACAAAATCATGTCACAAGAAAAGGGAGGATTACTTGACCAAATCTTACTCGAAGATATAGCCCGTCATTGTCCCCATCAGTTCCTTGCATTTCATCAATGTATGACCCTTCCAGAACCTGATCCCCAGCAATGTTCAAAACAACAAGCTGATTTGGCAATATGTATAAAGACAGTAGTACCCTCGTTTCAGAAGATACAAGGTGAATGTGCTGGGAAACTTCAGGCGTATGAAGCTTGTTTGAAGATAAATAATAGTAATACAAAGATGTGTACTCAAGATCTACAATTATTACGAAATTGTGCATTTGGAACTTTGGATAATTAGAGAATACAAGGCATGGCATATTTATAGAAATGCGTTTATGTTTTGGAAACCGTTTATAAAATCTATACAATAATACTGTACTATTATTTACTTCTATACTTTTGTTTTAAATTATGTAGTCTAATCTTGGATAAGAAATTATTAGTCACTTGTCTAATTTCTGGTTGTTCATTATGAGATTCTTCAATCTCATGTTGATGATGTAACATTTCATGCTCAATATCTTCCTTATGTTTAATCAAAACTTCAGGATCATCATCCTGATGATATTTCATCCAATGATGTTGTTCATATTCATCCTCAAAATCTAAATGATGCCCCGCGCCATAACCAAAATCAGGTAATTCTCCTCCAGTATTATGAAATTGAATCCATTCATTAGAACTAATCTTTCCATCTTTATTAGAATCAACTAATTCTAGAATCGTCTTGAGTACTTTGTCTTTAACTGATTTCGTTATTTGTTCATGATCATGATCGCCATGACTACCCATTCCAGACCCATCTCCAATCATGGTATCTTTAGCTAATCCATAGATGCTTAATATATCATTAGAATCCCAGTATCCTCTAGCCTTGAGATCATGTAATTTGAAGAATGTTTGGGCATCATATTCTTCCAAATTGTGTTCTTCGAGCATATGCCAATCTTGCCAACTTATACCTTCTGGTTTTGTTGCTTGGGCTGAGCCGTGGCCTCCATGGGATAGTACAATAGATGGAAGAATGAAGATTATCAAATGCTTTAATTTCATATTTAGCGTGGTTTCGTCGTTTCCGTTTTGAATGAAATGTTGAACTAAGCGAAAAATTGTCGACCTAAATCTCGTTTGTTACCGTACTAAACCTCCCCACCCACTCGCTCCACGGACACCAGATTCCAAAAATGGCAAGGCGCTACCATCACCCCGTGCTTGATGATAAATTTCATTTTACAATCTTCAGATGGACTTAATTAATCCTTTCAAGTACAGCAAATAAAAATCAAAATATCCCTTTAAATTCATTTCGTCATTTTTACGAACAACTTTAAGATCTAAACTCCTTCTCATTTTTTTCAATTAGCACCCCTCGTGTTCAAGTTCAACACTCAATCCTTTATCAAATTCCTTATCAATTGACATTTTTCAAATGGAAACTACCACCGCCATCGACAATCTCCCAACTGAATCCAGAACAGGCCGTGAAAACCAACGCTACAACCCCGAAACCGGTGCCAGAATAGTCGCCGGCTGTGTCTGTCTCAACCCCACCCATGACAAACTTGTCATGATCTCCTCATCCCATCGAAACGGAAAATGGGTCCTTCCTAAAGGAGGTAACGAATTGGACGAATCAGAAATCGAAACCGCAATTAGAGAAACTTGGGAGGAAGCAGGAGTTAAAGGTATCATAATTGATGAATTACCCGTAGTATTAGATTCCCGAGGGAAGAAAGCTCCTGTTATAAAAGGTGAATTTGATCCGAAGGCGATGATACCGAAGAGTGAGTTTCATTTTTTTGAATTGAGGGTGCTTGAATTGGCTATGAAGTGGCCGGAATCGGGACAGAGGGAGAGGAGATGGTGTACTTATGCAGAAGCTAAGCTTGAGTTATTGAGGGCTAAGAGACCTGAATTGGTTGAGGTATTGAACCTGTGTTCGATTGCTAAGGATACACTGGAGGGTAGAGCGCATGTTGTATCCAATGAATATTAGATTAATTCTATATAGCTATTTACTTAAATAAACCTCCCATCAAATTAGCCAACATATTTCCTTGTTGACCTGTATTACCTANTTGAATAAACCTCCCATCAAATTAGCCAACATATTTCCTTGTTGACCTGTATTACCTAATTTCAAATTGAAATATAATTGACCCAAATAATCAATAGATGAAGTAATCCCATATTGAGTCAAAGTTTGTTTATAATGATCATATAATTTTAAAAACTTTTGACCATTTGAATTTGATTCTTTTTGTAATGATATAATTAATAATTGTAAGAAATTCACCAAAGGATATTTTTCATAATATTGAATTCCATCCAAAGATTCTCCACCACCTAATTTCTTTATGAATAAATCTTTGGCAATTTGGGCAAATTTGATATTCTTCAAATATGAATAATTTATAATTGCCCTACTTAAAAACACACCAGGATCTACATCTGGATTAGCTTGATGACACAAGTATAAATAATCAACATATAAAGGGATTGATTCAAAAGTACCCAAAATTAAATGTAATTCAACAATTCCAAAATATTTACTCCGTTGTGCCAATTCCAATTCTTCATTGCTTTCAATAAACCTCAAAAGTTTACTTCCAAATAAATGATGTAAATCATAATCACCAAATTTTGCCACAGCTGGATTCTTTTGTGACCAAGTAATACTTTGTTTTGATAAATCCACCAAAGTTGGATCAGTATCAGGCAATTCATTAACCAACTCAATTAATCTCAGCTTACTTTCTTGAGTCTCGGTAGTTACTCCTTGTTCTTCATATACTTGAATTAAATAACTTATTAAATCAGATGCTGAAGCGTATTCTTTATTCTGGCATAAGATTGAAGCACCCTGATATAATAAGTCACTTGCTTCTTGATATTGTTTTGATTTGACATATCTATTGGTAATTGTTCTTAATGTTTGATGGGCTTCATAGAACGAGCCTGAATCGATCTTGGCTTGAAATCTTTGTATAGTTCTTGATAATTTGTCTGCCATGGCTGGTTTATCTATGTTTTACATATGTGTTGTATGGATTGACTGCGTGTTGAAAATTGGAAAATCTTTTTTAGGGTTTGGTTGACATATGGTAGTGCCACATTTTACACTGGAAGGCATAAACAATGGCTGCGAAAAACACTCTAAGTTAATCAATTTAAATTTATGAATTGATCTTTTAAGACTTTTATAATTCCTTGATCATATTGAGCTCTCTTTCTAAGTAATTTATTATCTTCAGTTAATGTTAATTTAATAGCTTCCGGTTTTAAAGAATTAAGTACAAACATAATTGCCCCATTCGGACCTAATAATTGGCGTACCAAATATATTGGGATTTGACTAGTTTGATCAACTATAATTAATTTAAGCATTGGGAAATAGAAATTCAGTTTTGGTGTAAATAACATAGCAATACTGGCCATTTTTAATTCAATATATTCCAATGTGTTTCTATTATAATCAAGTAAGCATTGTAAGAAACGACATATAATTGCTGGCAGGGATTTATCATTTTTGGGAAAATTATAATAATCACCTTCATTTGAATCAAAGACTAATTCAGGAGCATGCATTGATGTATTGTTATTTCCACCACTGTTGTTGTTCCCATTCCAAAGTTTATTTAAAAATGCAATCTTATAATATTTATTTTTAGTAATTGGAAAATGAGCTTTAAATCTAAATGCTTTCAATTGAAACTCAGGAGGATATTGAGTAAAATCGGGTGAATTGCTCCATGGTATTCTAATGGAATCAACAAGAACTAATTCTAATTCTAAAACAGATCTAGGTAATTTATTTAAACAAGTTAACCAAGAAACTGACATAATCTTAACCGTAACAACTTTTAAATTCTTAAAATGAAATAAATTATCAAGAATAAATGATTGATAAACTTTTGAAGAAAGTAAAAGAAACAGACTTATTGATAAATTAATTCTTCTAATATGTTCACATAATCTACTTTCAACAAGATGAGTAATACCTTCTTTGGAACATATCCCTATATTTCTATGTTTGGAAACACCAAGAAATAAAGGTTTTAGTGTATATAATATCTGGTGAAATTGATAATACATTTCTCGACATGTCATAATCATGGGATAAATATATTCAAAAGTTTTATCTTGTCTAAATCGATAGAAAAGGATTCTCGCAATTACTTCATGTGGGAGATCTAATATTGATCTTATAAGTGGATATTGAGCTTCCATTGAGAGTTTTATTGGAGGTTTATAGGCTGTAGTTGACATTGACCTAAGGTTTATAGAATGCAAAAATTAGTCGCCATGAAATGGATCCACAAAAAAGCGCCTTTTTTGCAATCATTTTATTATATGCCGGAAATTCAATCCGCCCGGAGAAACAAGGAAAGACAAAAAAAAAATTCAGTCCGAACATTCCAATTCATCTGGAGCAAAAAAAGATGAACAAATCATATTTCTCCATTTCACGTTGAACCCCCATACAAACACACCATCCAATTGAACCATTACGCCCCCCTTGTTTATAGAATATAAAATCATGAAGTTCACAACCAGATTATTAAAATACGTTCCAACAATTAAATTCGTCGGAGGTCCCCACCAAGCCAGTATGTAATACATCCCTCCGTGCAGCTCTACCTTTCTATTTTGACTAAAAACAGGAAATACTAACTCAGATATGTAGAAGCCGCTTCTCATGCGGTCAAACCACATCCAATGGCCCCAGAAGGATTATTACCCGGTTCAACTTCTTCCTCCACAGCTTCTTATAGTAGATATCAAAACCCAAATCCTATCCAACCTAAAGAAGGTGAATACTTTTCTAGAAGTGAATTACCTTCTAGATTCAGATATAAGCCAATTAAGGATTCTGATATTGAGAATGTGCTTAGTGGTGGTGCTGAGATTGTTTATTAGGGAATGTATATGAGAGAGATGAGAGAAGAGTGGATGGGTAGCTGATTTTTGGCTGCTTAGAATTAATAGAAATAATACGAGAAATATTAAGAAATTTGGGATATATTATCAGTTTTTAGTCTTGTGAAATAGTAATAATAAGTATTCATGAATGATCTATTTTATTTATTTATCAATTTTGCCTTTAGTGTAGTTTTGTATGGAGATGATGATGACAAAGTTTTGATAAAGTTTCTTTGATCTACAATTTCATCGAGGGTAGTACTTAATCGATGTAAACATTCCAACTAGTTTCAATCGAATAGCTTAACCTTTTTGCTACCGTACCCTTGTAAGTAGAACACTTCATTTACTTCTCATTCTTCATCCATAGCTGATGATTGAACATTCCTGCATATAATCACCACTCATTTTTCTGGCCTGAAAAAATGTTCGCCACCAATTTGAAAATATCTCTGAAATCCCCTAGCCATCTTTCAAACAGCTAAGACATTCAAGTATCAATTGAATAGATTAATACACTTCTTTATATCAAAATAACAAACTATAACAATGAACCACGATCCATACCAATGGGGTAGACCATCCAATGACACTTATGGAGCCTATAACCATAAGATTGCTCAAGCCTCAATTCAAGAAGCTGATTATCAACAACTAGACAATTTTCCAAGAATGAATACCCAACAACCAATAATCACCGGTACGTCAGTTATCGCCCTGAAATTCAAGAATGGAATAATCCTTGCTGCTGATAATGTCGGTGCATATGGATCATTAATGAGATTTAACAATATTGAACGGTTAATTAAAGTTGGATCAGAAACTGTGGTTGGAATTTCTGGAGATATTTCTGATTTACAACAATTAGAACGAATTTTAGATGAATTAGAAACAACTGAAGAAGTGTATGATAATGATGGTGGAGACTTTCTTTGTGCTTCAAATGTTCATGAATATTTATCAAGAGTTATGTATAATAGAAGATCAAAAATGAATCCACTTTGGAATGCAATTATTGTTGGTGGTTTCCACAAAGATCGCAAGACTCCTTTTTTGAAATATGTTGATTTATTGGGGGTTACTTATAGTGCATCGACAATTGCAACTGGTTTTGGATCACATATGGCAATTCCTTTATTAAGAAATTTGATTCCTGAAGATAAAGATTATATTAATATTGAAGAATCTCAAGTCAAAAAAGTTGTGGAAGATTCAATGAGAGTGTTGTTTTATCGTGATGCAAGATCGGGTGAAAAATATTCTCAAGTTGTAATTAGATTAGATGATGAAGGAAAGATTATAGTTGATTTTCAAAAGGATATTAAGATTGAAAAACAAAGTTGGAGATTTGCTAAAGATATCAGAGGTTATGGAAGTGCTCAACAATAGGGATCTATATAAATCGATGAATTTAATAAAAAATATACAAATTGGAAAATAAGTTAATACTTCTCTTCTTCATCTCACTGACAATTGCACCGAAACGCTAGTATGCATTGCTTTAGGCAATTGTTACGAGAAAGAACATCTTGCTTTAGCCACGGCTATCTCGGTTAGATGCATCAGCTTTTACTCCGGTTGGATGCAATTGCACATAATTCCACATCTCTAGATACCTTATCTGATTTATTTCTCTCTGTTCATTAATTTCTTGGATTAGTAAATATGAATCTCCGGTAAGTCTCCATATGATCCAAGATTTTAAGAAAACCCACTCCTCCGGGGTTACTTTGTCTTAGAATTGAGCTTGAAATATGTTACTATCACTCAAATGAAAATCAAGTCTAGATTTTTCTGTCTGGCTAATCCGCTTTCCAGGAAATTCTAGTTCCGCTAAGTAAAAACAAAATATAGATTTCAGTAAGTGGTTTGGGTTTTGTGCAAACCCAACAAGAACCGGAAAACCCAAAGGCGGATTCTTGAATCAAAAAGGCGATGCAAGAATATGTAATGACGCAACACTTCATGCAGTATGCCTCTATTGTCTACAAACGCCATAACCTTCCTCAAGAGTAGTGATAGGGATTTCAAGACAACAAATCGAGATATAAGCCTTATTCAAACACAAGGAGACCAGTTGAAATTAAACAATCAACTTGATAATATGATTTGAAAGGTACAATTAGCCTAATTCGTATCGATGAAGCTTAGTAGAATATTATTAAGAGAATTTTTTTTCACAAAAATGCGTTCAAACTTTATTTTAAAACAAACTATATATACACTCGAGAATTAATGAGTGTATAAAGTGTTTAAATAATAGTACGATATTCATGCATAATTAATTACTTCTCTTGCATACTTCTAGAAAACATTTTTTATGTATAAGAGGAGAAGAAAATAAAAAAAGAATTTTCTTCATTTGTTGGAGAAAGATACCAAGGAAGGAAAAGTCATTTATAGATCTTTATAGATATATTCTCATTTTCCGAGTATTATTATTAACAACTTCTTCCCATACTTAAGTGTAGTGTACAATAAATATAAACAAATATCATTCGCTTATAGAGGTGCTAACAGGAATGACGTAACTAAAAAAAAGTACACATTTATGTGGGTGCTACCAACAAAAAGAAATTTGATAAAATTTAAGTTTGTGCTTCATCTAATTTCTTCTTGTATTTTTATTTTCTTGCTTTTTCTTAATCCTAACGGTATTTTACTTATCCCCACAGTATTACGAAGGTACATAGTTTCAATTGAAATATATAAGTAATTCATCTCAAGAGAAACAAGAAGAGAGAAACGCAACTAAGCGACTTGATAATCATTACTCGACAAGTAGGAAATACAACTAACACCAGCATTCCCTATTCACATACAAACGCTATAAGCCTCTCTATACCGCGGCAATCATCCCTTTGGCTCCATCATATATGCTTTTCACACAAATAGAAAATGAGTTTTGAAATTACATTCTTAGGATCTTCCGGTGGTCCATTAGAAGGAAATACATGTTCAATCCTAATAAAACCCCTGCATCTATCGTATCAAACAATCATTGATCATAAACTATCAGATGAAATATTATGTATTGATGCTGGGTCAGGATTAGGTAGATTATCAGAAATAATTCATCAAGAATCATTGACCAAGAAACCTCATAGTAAAATGTTAACGTTTTATGAAGATGCAAAACCAATGACATATTATTATCATCATAAAATCCATATCACGACCCCATTCAAAGATTTCAGACCCCATCGAGCCCTATTTCATGCTCAGAAGTTATTCAATATCATAAAGACATTTCTTATAACTCATCCTCATTTAGATCATGTTGCTTCATTAGTCATTAATTCAGCCGGGTTCACAAATTCCCCGGCCAAGAGCATCCTAGGAGCAAAGCAAACCACCAATGCATTACAACGACACTTATTCAATGGAATAATATGGCCAAATATGCCATCATTTGAAGTTGTCAATTTGGTCCCTATTGCATTTGATAAATCAATAACAATAAATAATAACGCCTATACTATTTACATGTTTGAAATCTCTCATGGAGAATTCAATAAATTCGATGATCATCGACGAAGATCAATCATCGTCCAACCAATCATGAATGGAACCCTTGCAGATCAACGCCAGGGCCATTATGTCTCTTCAGCATATTTAATCAAACATAATATGACATCTAGTTCATTATTAATATTTGGTGATTTTGAAAGTGATAAAATATCTCATCTAAATCATAATATCAAAATTTGGAAAACAATTGCTCCTTTGATAATTGAACATAAATTAAAAGGAATTGTCATGGAATGTTCAAATACTCTGAATGTACCTGATGATGAATTATATGGACATTTAACCCCACAATATATCATATACGAACTTAATCGATTGAATGATGAATGTAAGAAATTGGATCCGGCGACAAAACAACCGTTAAGAGGATTGGATATTATTGTGGATCATGTAAAAGAACCGATTATTGATTTTGAATCGGACGAAAATGTTAAAGAACCAAGAGGAAGAATATTGGATGAATTAAATAGATTGAATCAGAAGGAGGGTTTAGGTTGTCGATTTTCAATTGCATTAAGTGGAGTATCCATATTACTTTAGCCTTTTTCACCATTCTGCATCTTATAAATTTTATATAATTACAAGCTTTCAATTTCTAGAAGTACGTGTATTATTTATAGTTTTAACTTGAAGTATATATTATTTTACATTATTACCTAAAAAAAATAGAAGAAACAAGGCTAAGGCTAGCTATGTACAAGCTAACAATCTATTGAACAATATAACTTTCACTACTAACATTTGAATGCAATTCAAATGGCAAAGGTTCTTCATCCTCAGTATTTGCAACCACATCAATCACAGAAATTCCACCCAATGAAACATCACTCTCATCAACACCAGTCTTAAAAATATCAAATTGTAATTCCAATGGGAACAAACTCTCTTCATCATCAGCAACAATACTAAAATCAAATGATCCTTGAGGATCGTCAATCGAAATCGAACCAATGGTGAAAATAACCCCCTGATCTCCAATCTCATATGATACATCATCATTACCTCCTTCTTGTAAGTGAACATCATTGGTCACAATCGGAACCAAAATCTTCACATTTTCCAATATATCACCACCAGAAGGATGTGAATCTATATAATGAGGAGATAATTCATACTCCAAGGTGACTTGAGCAACACCGCTATCTTGAATATTTACCCAAGGAGTAATTAAAATCGGAGTTAATTTAGAATCTTGTTTCACAATACTTCTCCATCTTAAAACTCCCAATGGTTGATCATTAGCAGGGAAGGTTTTTGATTTATCCTTAACCGTAATTACATTACTCGTGTTGAATAAATTACGATCAACATTTGGATGAGTCTTATATTGCTTCTTATCACCAGTGTTTAATAACACTTTTGCATTGGCTAATGATTGATTATTTATTCTCAATTGTAAATCACCTTTAACTTCAGAAGAAACCACCGAACCATCACGTGCTAATTGTGCATTGACTTTTTCATTTATGGTTATTAAAATCCCATGGTTTTGAACCTTGGCACTACCAGCGGCTGTTGCTGCTGATGATGGGGTTGGAGTGGCTGCTGGAGATGCATTTTCGGAATAGGTTGGAGTTGAGACTGCTACTGGTGGGACTTTATTATGTGAAAATACTGGTGCATGGGTAGCAAGCAATGGTTCATGTGCTCCACCTGCACCATGTGCTACTGATGTGCCTGCTAAATGAGTAGAACGGGCTGGTCTGGCGCCACTTGCTTTTTTACCCAATTGTAATCCACCACCTCTTGAAATTGGCTTGGAGGCTAATAATGAATTACTACCATGAGAGGTTTCAACAATTGGAGTGGGTTGATAAGTAGGTTGATAAGTTTGTTGTTGTTGTGATGATTGATCATATCCACCGAAATTACTTGATGGTGTTGGGAATTGTTCCATGTTTCTTTTGGCCAATTCTTTTCTTTGTATTTCTTTAGCCCTTCTTTTTCTTTCTTCTGTAGCTTCTAATTCTTTATTTCTCTCAATAATTTCTTGAATCTTTTCTTCATGAGAATCCATTTCTAAAAAGTTTTGAACTTGACTTAATGTTAAATTTTCTTTGAAACCCAAGGTAATAATTTCATCAAATGCACTAATGATTTCAAATGAATTATCAAAAATTTCACGTTCATCAACATTTCTTAATAAATTACTAACAGTAGAAGCAAATAAATGTAATGTATCAATATCTTGTAAAATATTGGATGATTTATTGGTAATCAAAACAATATAAAGTTCTTCCAATGGTTGATAAACATATCTAACATTTTCATCTTCAACTGTAGTATGTTGACTTGAAGAATTGGAAATTAAACTTGGGAAATTGGCTAAAAGTGCAGTAATCCTGTCTCGGGATATTTCTCTAAATTGTCTAGATAAAAGTGCTTTACCACCACGGGTACATATAGAAGCAGCTAATACAACCATTGTTAATCTATTATCGTTCTATCCTAACTTTCTAAACTTTTTTACTTTTTCTTGGAAACAAAAATCGATTACTTGATATCAATGATTTATAATTCTTTTGGATTGATCGATATTCTCTCGGATAACTTCACTTCTAATGTTCAATTAGATTTATTCAATCAACTTGTGTGAATTTAATAAGGAGCCTCTACCGAAGAAAAAACAGAACGTTGAGTGAAAAAAAATTGGATTTCGTGTTATTATTGAGATCCAGGTCGTGTATTCCTCAAAAGTGATTATCCCACTTATTCATGTAGCCGTTCATTAAAGATATGTTCCAATCGATACTATTTAAAACGTTAGTATTGGTAGAGGATTCAAATGTAGAAGGTATACTTACATACTAGAAGTTCACATGTAACACTATTGGATAATAATTTCAATTTTTCCTCAATATTTGACAAAATAAATTCATTAAGTGTCATTCTTTGTAAGATAAAATTACATTGAAAGTAAGACAATCCACATTCACATAAAAACGCACATTCTTCACAATCTTGCGGCATTGGATCATCCAATTCTTCAGGTTTTTCAACTTCAATAATTTCCATGATCCATATGAATGCATCTTCTGGTGGGATTAAAAGACATTTAATATTTAATGACATACAAATTAATTGAATTTTTTGCAATTTTTCACCACCATAATTTAAAAAATATGAATTTTCTAATAAGATTACAAAATATAATTTATGTAGACATTGTTTGATAGATAATAAAGAAGGTAGGATTAAGTACTCATTTTTGGAATCTCCTTGTAATAAATAATTTGACCCGGCAATATATATACCCGTTTGACAATTTATAATCATATCAACATCATTGGCAAATTGCACCTCTAACGATTGAATATTCCCCATTATGTCTTTTGCCAATTTGTAATCCTTTTGCCATAATGTTTGATTGATAAGTATATATTGAGCTTGAGTAAATTCGTATACTTTATTAGACAAGGTTTCCAGGATGGAAAAGGAGGAAGTGTCATTTGAATCTTGTTTGGAATCATCGAGAATTGTCAATTCCTCTAGTGAATTTTCATTTTCCAGAGATGAAATTGTAGGTTCAAGGAACAGTAGCATTGATAATCCTGATGGTAGTCGAATATTATTCTTTTCTAATTTGCGTTTCTTGTTTTGGCGTAGTGACACCAATCTCTCTATTTCTTCAGTATCATTATGATATGTTGCTCGATTTGAAGGGAGGGTGTTGACGAAACTTGCATCTAAGTCTTTTAATTTAGCTTCTGGAAGCTTCTCTTTGTCTGGTACCTGTTCACGTTCTGGTTGCACACTCTCCGTCTCCAACGTATTCTTATTTTCCGTTAAGAACAAAACTTCCGCCAGGTGACTTGCGTTAGATAACGTTAATTCAAAACCTGTCTTTTGATATCTTTTTGTAACTAAATAATCCTCACATACAGTTGATTCAATCGATAGTGGATCTACTAATTTTGTTTTAACAAATGTTTTCACATCCAAATTAAATGGATTCCAACACATATTATTAATAAGTTGATGTTTTGCCAAATTCCAAACGTGCGTGTTCGTCTTAGACTTATCAAAATATTCTCTGATTAGTTCCTGGAATGGTTTTTTGATTCTGCCGTTGGATCTAGCAACGGGATATACAAAATACTCCGAACTTTGTGTGAGTCGATTCTGATCAATTATGAAATTATGTACTTGTTCAAGATCAACATTTTCTTTGGTTTGATTATCATACTCCCATTCAGGAAATGAATCAAATTCAATTTGAGCCCTGGCTGGCGATTGAAATATGTAGTCATTTTGAATACAATAAGCATTGTCTGGAGGAATTATTTTTTGCAGCCAAATATCATTTTTTGTAGTAACCAATTGTGCGAGATCAAACTCTTTAATTTCATCATTAATATAATCAAGTAGATCAATAGACTCCGAAACCTTCCAAGTGGGAAATGTAAACAGATTAGGATTGGTAATAGTAGTTCCCGGTTGGATGACTAATGGTTGATCAATTTGGTATGTTGAAGAATCTTTTGGTTTGATGCAAGTTGGTAGTTCAAACTCATCCGATATGACAATTGAATTACAATCAATTGGGATATCAATATTTTCCTCAAAGCGCTTAGATAAGTTTTTGATTCCCTTGACTTTTGGGGTAGGAAACTTGTGTTTTGGAATAATCTGTTGTATGAGCATTTCGTTCATATCACACTTCTTTCTGGAAGCAGTATCCCCTGTTGAATGAACAAAATAAGTTTCTGGAATCAGAACAGGTTCGAAATGCGGATGTAGATCTAATGTTTTCTTAGGAGTGAATATTGCATTATGAAGATATAATGAAGTTTCTTTATTGACTTTTAGTTTCTCGGTTGTAAAATTATCAATAGTTAATGGTAAATTTGGCAACGGTAATTCATTCTTATCATCATCGAAATAATTTTGGAAGTGAGTAAGTAGGTTTTCCATAAAAATGGACCTCTTCATTTACTAACTTGGTATCTATTAACGGGAGAATGAGAGCTATCAATTAATCCGTTATGATATTGAGATTTGCAACCAAAAAAACTTACGAAGAAAATTTTGGTTGTCCACTCACTCACTCAGACAAAATAAAATATTAACTTTGATAAAGTTTAAACGAGACACGCTTTTCCTCTAGTCGTATAACGCGGGATACCGACGTTGATATTCCCTACATTAGAGTTTCAAATAACGCGTTAGTTGCAAATATAAGAAAAGAAAGCTGATATTGATTGATAAGTTAATTGCTTGCATGAAGATGACAATCGCAATGATGTAAGCACCCTACCTAAGACAAAGAGATTGTCATCGTGTGATATGTATGAATGTGTAAATCAATTGTAATTAACAAAGAGAAGTAGACTCTCCAGTTTTAAATATAGAGACAAGATCTTACTAGCAAGGCATTAAATCTTCATTATCATACAAAGTTTCAATAAAATGACTATTACCATACTTTCGTTAAATAACAAAAGTCAAACTAACTACTGATTATCATCTTTACCGCACTATCAAAATTAATTTGATAAATTGTAAATTGCTTACATGAATTGATCAACCATCATCATCATCATCGTCAATAATCAACAAAGAAAGAACGTAAGAAGAGGAACAAGAATAGAATTTCAATTCGCCGCACAAAAACGAAAGGGGAAAATTATTTTTAATTTTCTATTTTGACAGTTTGAATTTATTTTTTAAACCAATTATCTCTTTGTTTCAAAAATCTTCCTGAAACATTGATGGGAAGAATAAATACCCTTTGAACATATTCAAAAATTCCATCTCAAGACAGGTAAGAGCAATACACGTGCATTGATTTAATAAATAAATGTAATACAATTCGTACCGAAACCAAATGAAAGAATGGGTGGGAATGTATTATGTTTTAGGAGCGATACCTATAATTTCTTTGTCATTATGATGTCATATGTAAAAACTTTTGTACACCCTTTCAATATGAACATAAAACAAATTAAACAATCAGAACAATAGAATTTGTTTTGTACCTGAATATAAAGTTAAATAGAAACCTTATTGTTTAAAGAGTTTCAGAAAAAAATTTAATAAGCAACGATGGTTAAATGATAAACAATTAAGAATGGCCATGTGATTCCTTGTTTGTTTTTAGTTTCTCAATATATAAACACATCGTAAGACCCACATTTTCGTCTCATCAAAATTCATAAAACTACTAGAATCTCTCGTTAGTATAAAGCCTTTTGCAGTAAAAATCGCCATTCCCATACATATTCATAACCAATAATGTCACTTTCGTCCGTAGAACAAATCTTGATGGATACTTCCGCATTGTCATTACCTTCAACAGCCAACACAATGCAATATTTTACAGACTTACGTGAAGCAACAGAGTACAATTATGATAATCAAGGTTCATCTCAAACAGCTGTAAGTCAGCTAGTAACTGATAGAGTTTCATTTAACACAGAAATGGTAGAGACACTAACACTCTCAAACTACACGGCACCTTCTCCCCAAGCAACATCTCGTAGTGGCGGTGCCCAAACAGATGTGAGAAGTACGAAGTTCATGTTGTTATTTTCTAGTGTTACCGTGCTATGCTTTGTGCTTCAATTGTGATTGGTTTTTTTTTCATATTTTAGTTTTGTATTTATTTAATGTAATGTGTATGATAGTGAGGGCGCCAAAGTATTTAATGTGTTTACTTTATTTATAGAATTGGTTTAATAATAATAATAATAATGATTTATAATAATGAATAATAATAGCAGTGAATAATTTAGTAGTCGGATGATCCAATGATTGCAAAATTTTTTTGGCAACCAAAAAAGTGCTGCAAAACTTATATCAACGACCTTTGGATAACCAAGCATAGTGTACTTCTTTACTCTCCAGGAGACTTCAATACATCCTTCAGATCCATTTTGTCAAATATCAAATGTTTCAAACTTCAATAACAGTTGTTGGCCCCAAAAGTTCGATCAATCGCATTCGGACCTTTTCACTCTTCGCGAACTCATTATATTGGAGGTTTAATTTTTTAATTTGGCAGTTAAAAGGGAATAGAAAACCGTTTATATCATCAAGATTGCTCCTTCGTATACTTAAGTACTTTAGAAACCATGGAACTTTTATCTGTCTTGGGTCATCAAAGTAACAAAAATCGAAGTATAGATACTGTAAGTTAGTTAGTTCTTGAAGATTAAGGGTTTTCAATTCACAACTGTACAGTAGCTCCAAAACCTTGAGGGAAGTAGGTAGCGAACCTTGCCTTATTTCTGGAATATGCCCTAGCAAGAGCAGAGACAAGTGGTGAAATTTTCTCAAGTTCAACTTATGTAATGATTCTAAGCCTATATCGGTTCCGGATAAATCGAGGCGCTTTATGTTGACAGATAGTCTATCTTCATATACCTGCTTAAACGTTCCATCGTTTGTTTCACATGTCAACCGCTGATCACTCAAATCTACCTCCTGAACAGAATCTGGGAACTCGAGGTCATCTAATGACGTGATAAAGTTTGCAGACAAGTCAACTACTCTCAAATTGGAGTGTTTTATTTTTAAAGTAGTTATGTCATGATGCTTTAAATCCAAGGTTCTTAAGTCTTGTGGTAGTTCCCATTCAAATGAGGTTAGGTGTTTATAATTATGGTCAATTTCAAGACGAGTCAAGTTTGGTAAGCTCATTAGACAACTTTTTGCTTCTGGTAAGTATGAAGTGGTTAAATGAACCAATGATTTGGGTAATGACATAGGGAGAGTAAACGACAGGATACCTGAAATACCAAGAACAATTAAATTTGGGGGAAGTCGAAATGCTGGTGGGAACGAATTAACATTCAAAGAAAGTATGCGCAATGAATCAGGGAAAACTAACTGCTCGGGGCAAAACAATCGAGTCTGAGCAATAACCGAAAAGAACTTTAGCTTTGGTGGTAGTCTGATGGATGGAAATTCATCAGGTATATCTTCAGAACTCGACAGATAAGTCAGCATATCGTCCCTATCAATGTAGGATTCGGTATCACTGTGCCACTCTGTATCGTCCTTTCCACGGTACCATCCAAAGTGCAATCTTTCAATGGAATTTGGTAGATTGCAATTGAAAATTGAACCTGCTTCGGCTCCCCGGAAACTTACAAATAATCTGCAAAGACTGGTGTATTTTTCAATACCATCCAAACATATTAGAGTTTCCGATTCGAGATGTATCCTCTCAATTTGCTCAGGAGCTTTCAACGCCGCGAAGTATTTCGCTGGGAAGTTGGTGCATTCTAAGGCTTTTAAATTTTCTAGGTCAGCTATATTAAACTCATCTATAAGTTCCAAGTGAAATGCAAATCGAATTCTAAGTTTCTCTAGGCTCGTGGGCAAATTTGGCTTAAATATAACAGGATTTGATTTTAAATGAATTTCTAGAATTTTTAAAGATGATGGAAGATATATCAAGTCCGTCGTTTCAACTCTGTGTAATTCTAGTGAAGAAATCTGGTATGGACATCGTCCGAATTGGAATCTCTCCAAGGATGGTAGAGAGCCGTCATAGAACCAGCTTTCTAAAGTCAAAATTTCATCTATTGGCAAGGAAGATATGGATGCACGTATCAAACGCACACCTGACTCATTGTCACTATTGTCCAGAAAAGGTTTGTTCACGAACAGTATACTCTGGGCTCTCTGAATCAAAGATGGTTCTTTTTCATCTAATTGTATTAAAGTATCAAGTCCACATATATTCAACCTTGGACGTAGGTTGGGACGATCTTTCATAAACTCTATGAAATCTTCTATGTTGTCAACATCTTGGAATCGAATAGGACAACCTTCTGCGTCAGGATTACCGAATGGTTCCAACAATGTTTCGTCACCGATAGGATTCTTTCCCCATTGTTCTTCAATTCTATCATAATAAGCACCACGTTTGTATAAAGTGTCACCTATAGTAATCTCAACACCCCTATCATTCAAAGCTTTAATGACATGCTCGTTAATAATTGGAATATCACTGTACGCCCACAAATGAGCAGTAGGAATATAGCTGAAAACTAATTCCAAAATGTCAATTGGAAGATATAAAGGTCCAGGGATAAAGAATTTATAAAAGTCCATACCTGATCTGAAAACAACGCACAATTGGAACTGATATAATTACATGTAGATAATTAGAAGAAGGTGTGACCGCCTTCATCCAAGCTCCTAACCTGCATTGCATCTAGTGTTACTCCTGAAAAGTCGGTAAGTAGAAGTTGCACGTGACACTTGTGGATGTTTTTAACCTAATTTACACGACCCGGAGAAACCTGTCAAACCCGAAGTGAATTGGGATCTTTTGTAATTCTTACCATTCATTTGAATACACACCCTAGATTAATACGTCCAGTACACATACTGACAACATGCCTCCTCGGAACTATAAAGAATCTGCTTCAGAACCAGAATCCACTCGCAATAATAATTCTTCAAATGTTGCATCTTCTTCCAAAACATCTCAAAAGGCAAAGAATCAAGCGGCATTACAAGCACAACAAATGTTCCTTTCCAAGCATATTAATTCCAATGGCCCTAATGATAAACCAAAAGTACATCCATTAGATTTTGAAAGCTTTGATGATTCGACATTAATGAGATATAGTGAGAAATATGGATTAAATGTACCAATACCTGAATCAGTGAATTTTGATATATTGAATAGTGAAATTGGGAAGAAAACGTATTCAAAAAGGAGTAAACTGAGACAAAATATCAATAGAGTATCTAAACCTGAATTGGCAGCTCATTTAAAGAATCATTTTATGAGTCTACCTAGCAAAGAGAATGAAATTATTACTGGATTTTTATACAAGCTTAAACATGAAGATAGTGAATTTAGGTTGAAATTTAATTAGTAATTTTACTCTTCTTTCCTTTTGTATATTATATAAATTGTTATTATTAAAATTAGTTTGGCTTTTTCATACAACCCCCTCTCTCTGTTTATCTCTCTGTTTATCTGACATCATCATATTCAATTCAACATCCTACATGTACCTTTTTTTCCTTGGTAGCACTGTTATAGACCCAGAAAAAATCATTCGAATCTTCGACACCCTGAGGAATCAAATTAATCAGGATCTCCATAAATTTATTGTCATTATTAATCAAAGAATATATCAATATTTAGACTGACTGACACACAAAATGGAACACTCCACAATTCTATTCATAGCTGCATTAGGTGTTGCATTTATATTTTTAAGATGGTTGATTTCTCCTATCCCCCAAACCAACGATTTCAACATCAATATCGATGAATCATCCTCCTCCTCCACAGCCACAACATCCGGTAGAAACACCAATACATCCAGAACAACTCAACGTAGACGCAGAAGAGACGTCACTGATTCCATGATCGAAGTGGTGCAAACTATAGCACCCTCCTTAACTGTTGAACAAATTAGATATGATTTGGAAAATACTGGATCTGTCGAAGTTACCATAAATAGATTTATGGAATTAGGTAGCTTACCTTTTCCACCTGGATACACTCCTCCTCCAACCAATCCTACGGCCTCTTCATCAGGTTCTAGTAGTAAATCAGGTATACCTACTAAAAAATCAGTTAATTTACTTGAAAAGTATAATATTGATTTAGATAGTACTGATAATGGAGAAGGTAAGACCCTTTTGCAAAAGAGACGAGAAGAAATGATTATTGGTGCCCGAAAGCGATTGGAATCTCAATTAAGGAATGAAATCTAATGAAGTAAAGTATAATCTTGTTCAAAGTTGTATTCGTATATATATGGATTGCGCTTATCTTAGAAATATATATATAATAATTAACCAAACTACTGCGTTACTAAAGTAGGTGCAATCCGCTTCTTTGGTTTCTTGTTCTTGGAAAAGAATGAGTCTATCGTAGGTGTTATTTTGGGTTTACCTTCATCTTCAATAATAGTCACTTCCTGTATGATTTCCGGTTCTTGCGATGCCGGACTTGTCGGTATGAGAACAACTTCCGTCTGTTGTGGTTCTTGTATTATTATTTGCTCAGCAGCTCTCACTTCTTCTTCTTCTTCTTCCACATACATTTCTCCAAATACCCCTTCTTCAAACGACACAACCGAACAGAATCCATCTGTTGAACTCACTATTATTCGAGATCCGTCTATATCCCACTTCAAATCAGTTATGGTACTATAATGTAAATTTGAAACAAACCCTAAAGGCTTAAATTCTTCGGTTGAATAAAGAACAATACTATCCTGTGTAGCAATTGCGAATATCATAGTATATGGGTGTGACAATAGATTTTTCTCAACTGATTTAAACCTACCAGGATGGAAAGATATGGCAATCGCAGGTTTATTTAATCCTCTTAATTTAAATACAGGTGCTGTACCTAAACTTGCTCTTGAATAAACATATACCACATTCTTGGATGATTCACTTTCGGCAGACTCTTCCAAACCTGCGGGCGTCGCAAGTAAACTACCATCTGGAGAAAAGCTTAATCGTCTGAAGAATGATTGTAATGTTTCTGAATAATACATCCCTTGTGAATTAAACTTGTTAAACTTGTGAAATAATTTAATATCAAGTAATTGTCCTGGTTCTTGGGAGATTCGATAGATATTCACAGAACGATCAGCAGATTGACTCGCTATGTATTGGTTCAATGGATCCCACGAAACACCTTGGATATAATGATTATGATTCTTGAGTGAATGCATCAACTTCCCAACAACCTTGCCATTTCCATTTAAGTTCTCCAACTGATACACCCTCAATATATTATCCATCGATCCAGTAACAATATATTCACCACTAGGAGACCAGCAAAGGTCCATTATTTCCGAAGTTGATGACCGAAGTTGTGCAGCAACTTGCCAACTTTCTTTCAATTCATCATCCTCTTCATCGTTCTCAAAATCTTTGACAATGGTATCACTCAATTTCCAAAGCATAAGAGTCCCATCATCACCAGCTGATGCCAATACATTGCCTGCCGGATTAAATCGGACTACATTTACTGCTTGGGTATGTTTATGTAATGTACTTAGATACTCAACAGAATGTTGTTTTGAGTCTCCTAAAGAAATCAATTTCCACATTCGTATGTTGTTGTCACCTCCACCTGTCACCAAACGTCCCGATATCGGTTTGTTGTTTTCATTTAATTTTTGAAAATCGACAGAATATATCGGCTGACTTTCATTATGCCAATGAACTGTGATTGTAGATGCCTCCATTACTTGATATTAAACGCTACTGATAATGTCCACGTTTGTTGATTGAAATTTTCGAAAAAGATTGAAAACTGGGAAAAATTAAAAAACCGATAAAAATTCTACAAAATTTCTACGCGGCGCGTTTTGCACGTGACTTATTATTTGGTAACGCTACCATATTGCCTAGGCTCTTATCTCAATTTCATTTCGTGGGGAGGGGATTCTCAATTGAAGTGTTGTCAACTCGCCATCATAAATAAATTCTACAAGCTAATCAATTGAAGATACCTTGGAGAAGAATGGAACACATTAAGCTGACAAACGAAAGCCCAGTTAGCAGATCTCTAACTAGAGAGAGTAATGATTCTATGGAAACGCCCTCTGAGTCCTCAACCTCGGATACGATATCCAATTACGGGGAAACGCCTATATCCAATAGCCCAAATTTACATCCATCGAACCCAACCATCCCATCTGATCCCTACCATCAATACTACGAAAGCTATGCATCTCAATTCATTGATTTTATGAAAGAAAACCCTACAACCTATCACGTAATTTCCCATTTCAAATCGCTATTATCAAACAACGGATTCACTTATCTCAAAGACAACGAACCGATAAAGGATCTAAAATCAGGGTTCTATTACACAGCAAAAGATGACCAATGTTTGATTGCATTTATAATTGGTGGCACTTGGGAACCTGAGAATGGAAGTTGTTTTGTCGGTAGTCATTGTGATGCTCTAAGTGTAAAACTTAACCCCAGGGGTCTGTTACATTCACAAATTGAAGGATATGAATTATTAGGAGTAGCTCCTTATTCTGGAAGTTTGAATAATTTATGGTTGAGTCGAGATTTAGGCATTGCTGGATCAATATTAATACGTCATGAAGAAACTGGGAAGGTCGAAAGAAAACTTATAAGTTCGCATCCGCATCCGATTGCATTTATTCCTCAGCTTGCACCTCATTTCGGAATCGAGAAGGATAGTTATAATAAACAGACGGAGATGGTACCCATATTTGGTCATTCTACTGAAGAGCTTATCCCTACGGAAGAAGAAAAGTCAAGTAAGTTTTATAAACGTCATTCATTGGCTCTATTAAGATATATTTGTAAATTAGCCAATACCAATATCTCTTCAATTGTTGATATTGATCTTCAATTGGATGACATACAGCCTGCTCATCGGGGTGGGCTCAATCAAGAGTTCATATACCTGGCAAGTTTGGACGATAGATTATGTGCATTCGATTCCATATATGGTTTACTTGAATTCAGTCATCAATTTTTATTAGGTAACATGGAAATAAAAGACTATGACGGACTTAGTGGGGTATATCTTGCCAATAATGAGGAAATCGGAAGTGCGACGAGAACAGGGGCAGGTGGTGGGTTTTTGATAGATATATTAAGATCAATAGTTGCTTCCAAAGCTACTGAAAGGGGAAATGCTTCTAGAAAGAAGATTTGCCTGCATCCAAAATGTTTATCCCCTTACATGTGCTTTGCCAATGATCATAGAGACATAATTAGAACTGAAAACCCCGGTATTTCTTTCGGTCAAGTTGGGAGCTTATTAGGTAAAAAGTGGAATGCTTTAACTCCCGAAGAGAAACATTATTATGAAAGTAAAACTCCCAAAGCTGATAAGAAGATATACAAAAAGGAAAATCAAATGGAGGAATTATTCAAGTTAACCACAAATACAATCTTCTTATCAACTGATGTAACCCATGCATTAAATCCAAATTTTAAAGAAGTCTATTTAGACAAAAACTTCCCATTGCCCAATACAGGACCCTCTATAAAATTCGATTCGAATGGCCATGTATTAAGTGATAGCATAAGTTGGGAATTCTTATCAAGAATTGTGAATACATATCTACCAGGAATTAAATTGCAACAATTCCATATTAGAAATGATTCTCGATCAGGTGGAACAATTGGTCCAATTATGTCAAATGGTAATCGAGGTCTTAATGGTGCCAAAATGATAATTGACGTTGGATTGCCGATTCTTAGTATGCATTCAATTAGAAGTATTATGGGATATAAAGATGTTGGTATTGGTGTTAGGTTCTTTAAGCTGGTATTCGAACATTGGCAATCTACTATTCTGAAAATGGAACAATTTAGCGAGACTAATGTCGCGGTCACGTGATTTTGACAAAAATAAATGTCGCATGGAATTAAAAATTTTCGTAGGGTGGAAAATTCTAGATGCCTCTTGTAGTTTAAAGATCATCTCAATTCTCAATTCTTATCTTTAAAGATTATAGATAGTCATCTTTCTTTTAATACACAAACATAATCGACTTACTCAAGAGCCCTAGAGTCAAGTGCATACCTTGGGATAAACAGCTATCGAAAACTCAATAAATTTTAAAGAACTTTCACATTATCGCATACTTCACACGTCAATAAAATGAGAGTCTCCTCATCTGTATCCTACATTGCCAAACGTAGCTCATGCCTCCCAAGAGTCAAACCAGCAATCCACGCTACTCCAATAACAAGGTCGTTCCACTCTTCCCGAGCATTAGCCATAAACTTTGACCCTTATAAGACTTTAGGTATCGATAAGAATGCTGATGATAAAAAGATCAAAAAGGCATATTATGACTTAGTCAAAAAATATCATCCTGATGTTAATAAAGAAAAGGATGCCGAAAAGAGATTTCACAAGATTCAAGAATCATATGAATTATTAAGAAATAAAGAAAAGAGAGCCCAATATGATCAATTTGGTTCTGCTGCCTTTGATGCCAATGGGAATGCCAATCCATTCGCCGGGGGTGGGAATCCATTCGGAGGTAGAGGATCTGCACAAGGTGGGAATCCATTTGCTGGAATGGGATTTGATTTTGAAGATTTGTTTAGAGAGGCGTTTGCCGGTGGAAGAGGAGGTGCAGGTGGACGTGGTGGTAGAGAATATGTGAATAGACATGTTGGAGATAATATTGAAATATTGAAATCTATTCCATTTAAAGATTCGATATTCGGATCGAAGATTACCGTGAATTATAAGGCAGTTGATACTTGTGGTACTTGTAGTGGTAAAGGTACCAAAGCCGGTGCTACCAAGACTACCTGTCCTGTTTGTCACGGTACTGGACAAACAACTCATGTATTAGGGGGATTCCACATGTCATCTACATGTGCTACATGTCAAGGTGCTGGTGTGACTATTTCTAAGAAGGATCAATGTGGAACCTGTCATGGACATGGTGTTCAAGAAGTTCCAAAATCTACCACAGTCGATTTACCTCCCGGGATTTCCGATGGATCAAGAATTAGAATTCCAGGTGCTGGTGATGCACCATTCGTCACTAAAGACGCATTCAATGAAACCAGTAATGGTGATTTAATCATTAGAGTAAGTGTTCAACGTGATCCAAAATTCAAACGTGAAAACAATAATCTTATTGTTGAAGAAGACATTTTAATGACTACTGCTGCATTAGGTGGTGAAATTGTAGTGCCTACATTAGATGGACAAAAAGTTAAATTGAAAGTCAGACCTGGTGTTCAAAGTGGTAAGAAATTGACTATTCCAGATAAAGGGGTTCCAATAAATAGAAATAAGAATAACAGAGGTAATTTCGAAGTTATTTTGAATGTGAAGACATTAGTTCCAGAAACTCCAACTCAAACAGCATTATTAGAAGCATTAGCAGATGCATTTAATGATAAGAGTGCAAAGAGAACTCATGCTGATTGGAATGTAGATGAAAATAACAATGAGGATGATGTTAATGAACTGTATGATGAAAAGGATTTAAATCCAACTAAATTAAATAGAATTGGAAAACTTTTGGGTAAGTTTTTCAACCTTGATAGTAAGGATGAAAAGAAGTAAGAAAGTGGGCCCTGTTTTGTTGCGAATTGGTTAGGAACTTTAAAGGAAAATTCCAAATTTGTAAATAGTTTTTAAATCTTTTAAATGTCTTAACAATTCGTAAATGGTTACCTTTATCTTTGTTCTGTATATATATAGGTATTAATGTGTAAATTATAATTCAATTAGATATTTATTGATGCTTGAGATTACTTTTATTATATTATAGTATTTATGGAAAGACGCGTCTTTTTTTTCCATGGTAATTGGTTACATGTACACAAAAAATAATTTTGTAACCGCGAAATTTAAACAAAAATAATTATTTTTTTATAATTTCCAGAAAATTTAAATCTCCTTTCGGTAATGAAATAGATTAAGAAATTGACAAGTGGATTAAACTTCCACTAAATGGATTAAGGAATAACAGCTAACAACCCCGATGTAACAGTTTACCCTGAAAAATGTCCTCATCACACAAGAACTCGGATTGTTGGTTGTCTTGCACACCTTTAATTGAGCGCTTTTTGACATCAGTTACAGCCGTTTGTCAAGCGTAGGAACAGAGGATGATATACACTTTCAAGTTTTACACATGCTTTTCTAATTGTGTATTATGGTCCATTGTTCTTTAATGTATATTCAAGTTCTAGCGAACTAATTAAGTAAAATTATAATGTTGAAAAGTGTGTGGATTTTAAAACGCGCCTTCCGCGCCATACATAATTGTACTGTACTAAAAAATAATACGTATTCATAAAGGTACATTTCTTATAATTGGGAAATTACTACAATTAAAGCAAATGAAGACTTCTTGATAAATAAGAATCCTTTTCCACACTTTGTTAAACTCTTCTTTCCTCTACTCAACATTTTTTTTATCTACTAAACCAACTTTCAGTCTTTCCTTCTACTTATATTTCGAGACTATCACTCCTTTAGAGTCTCCATCTACATCTTCCCATCAACTAGCAATTCTTTGTTCAAAATGACATTATCCCGATCTGACTTTGAAGACATCCCCATAGGAGAAGCTAGACCAAGGGGACCCTATACTTGTGCTAACTACAGGTCGCAGTTTCGCAAACAATCGGTGCCTTTATCCCAACCCAGAGATGATTCACCGTATGTCATTCAGCTTAACAAGACTCCGTCTAATTTAACTCCATCACAGAGACTTAAACTTCGCAAATCAAATATCAATCACTCCATTTCACAATTGAAAACTGACGAGACTTTAATAATAAACAAAGTTAAAACTAATACCGTACCGACTATCATTGATAATAGAGACGAAGAAGTAGACGATTCACTTTTCAATGTTCCATTTTCACAACAATTAGTTGCATTGAGTCAAAGAGAGAAACTCATTTTTGACAACCAGCCACGTAATTATTCCTTCATTAGTAATTCCACAAGGGCATCTTCGATATTTTCCAAACACAGCTACGATGATGATAGTATGTCCTCATTAGGTATTGATGATTATGACTGCTGCAATGCAAAGTCCCCACCTGTTCTTACAAAAGGGTTCAATTCTATTTCCAAGGATGCTCAAGAGTTGACGTTATTGTTCAATAAGGATGAAACTATGCAAATAAGTGAAGAAAGTTTTCAAAAGAGAAAGCTATTAGCAGAGTTTGCAAAGATGGATATGCCCTCCACCCCGGGACTGTTACAGTATTCCTCCGATCCTAATGGCCCTGTACCTATACCAGATCCCGTCCATTTCAATAAATATCATTCATTTACTAGACCATTATGGTTACCTCCAAAAGCAACTCCCGAAAAGCAAAAGCACCACCGACAATCCCAAGATTTGATTCAGAATGCAATACTAGAAGAATCCAAAGTTCAACATAAGAGGTTGCAAGACATAAAGAAACTCAACAAGCAAAGAGTCAAAGATGTCAAAGCATGGGAAAATTCATTCTTGGTCAAGAAAGATTATCAAGATGTCAATTGGAACAAATTGAAAGATTTGTCATGGAAAGGAATTTCTTCCAAAATTAGAGGAACTGTTTGGTGGAAATTACAATTGTTGAAGGGAAATAAGCAATTTGATGAGAAATTTTGCAGCCATTATTTTGATCGGTTCAATGATATCGAAGCGCATATTAATAATTTGAATAATATGGTTCTGAAATATAGACGAATGGGGAATGAATCAAATTGTTATTTCAGACAAGCTCAATTGAGTAAAGATATAGAAAATGAGTTATCGAGAGTGATAATACCGCATTTATCACTTCATGAAGCCGCACAAGTCTATGATTCGATTCAAACTGATATACTACATGTATTCCCTGATATGAATTACTTCCAAAATGAACATCAAGTTAACGAACTTACAAAGATCGTAATGATTTACATGCTTTATTTGTATGAAAAGGGTGAAGCTTGTAAATTCAGTCAATTATATTATCCTGGTTTGTTACATTTCGCAGCCATTTTATTGTATAATTTCAAAAATCGTTTCAAGGTACTTATAACCCTATGTCAATCCATGTCAGATAGGTTACCTAATTTACTATTATCATATATGTTTGGTCCAACCGAAACAAAACTGTTAATCAAGGATTCGTTGAATAACTATATTGTGAAGAAGTTTGAACATATGTTCCGGGATCGTCTTAGCCGGGTATTTATTCATTTCAAAATACACAATATCGACCCATTTGAATACTTACCAAACCTACTATTATCAGCATTTAGCAATTTATTCAACTTTGACCTTGCCAGTCACGTTATAGACTTGATTTTCTTCAGTCATGACAACGATGAGACTATAATCAAGCTAATTTTGGGATATATGACAAAAACTGAATATAAACTATTTGGTTCTAAACAAGAAATACTTCAAACTTTGTTGGGATCCTCAATTAAGAATAAAAACAGCGTTGTCTTCAACTATGTCAATGTCGGTTATGAAAAGGAATTTATAGATTTAGTTAAAGGTATGTAATGATAATAAGTCAATTATAAATACACATAAGAACGAACGCAACTATACACTTTTGAATTGAAATAAAAACAAGTATCACAACCCCTTTTGAATAAATCTATTTAGATTCATTAATGGCTTTTAAAAGTTCTTCCCCATCCGCAGGTGTCTTCACTCTCAAAACATATGTAACGAACTTTGTAGGATCTTTTGGATCAATAGTAGGCACCCTCACAAGCGGTCCAGTGACCAGATAGGTAATATCTTTCGAAATCAAACAATTCAACAAAATTCTCAACCCACCATCAGCACGGATAAGAATTCTTGATTTTCCAGTTTCTTTATTCTTCAAAATCTTTAAATCCCCAACTCCTTTATTAATGTATGGATTCTCGGTATTAGTGACATCAAATTCCATTAATTTTGCCCGTTTGGAAAATACTAAATCTTCATCTTCTTCCCCCGTGGATACGGCTTCCATTTTTTCAGAAGGCATTCTGGCAACGGGTGTGAATTCAGCTCCGGATTCTTCTTCTTCGACTTTTGAATCATCTGCTTCCTTCTCTTCACCGGCAGCAGCTACGCTTGCGGTTTTTGGTGCAGCTCCAAAAGTGATGCTACTTCCAGTGCCGAATGAAAATGTTGATTTTGGAGTTTCAGATTGAGGTTGATTTGCTGGATTGAATGAGAATTGGAAGAGTGGTTTTGTTTGCTCGGGTTTAGAATCTGTGGATTCTTGTTTGTTTTCTTGTGGTTTGAATGAGAAGGTTGGCTTTGTTGCCGATTCACTAGGTTTGGTTGCGGCGGATCCAAATGAGAACCCAGACTTTTCTGAGGATGCAGATGCATTGAATGAAAAAGAAGGTTTTGTGGCATTTGTTGTGTTTCCAAAACTAAATCCAGGTTTGTCGTCTTTCTTTTCGGTGGAAGCAAAATTGAAAGCTGGTTTATCCCCCCCAAAGCTCAATGCTGGTTTATTTTCTTTCAAATCTGATGTAGTGGTAGCTGGGGCACTAAAATTGAATGAAGGTGTTTTGTTATCTTGACCATTTGTAGTTGTTCCAAATGAAAATGGGAGTTTATTTTCCTTTTGCTCTCCTGCATGGGTAGAACCAAATAATCCAGTAGGTTTGGCAGCTGTTGATGGTGCACCTGTTCCGAACGAGAAACCTGGCTTAGCATCATCCTTCTTTGTCTCCTCAGTATTAGTTGAAGTCACATTAAATGCAATCTTCGGCTTAGCTGGATCTGCGGATAATTTAAATACATCATCTTTAATAGCTTTATTGAATTGAAAAGTAGGACCCTTGATCTCTATTTCATCTTCAGAATCATCCGAATCTGGTTCATTCTTTTTTGCCAACTTCTTTGGGTCAAATGTAAACGGTGAACTCTTGACTGTTGGTTTTGTCGAAAGGGTGAATTGAGGTCCTTGGATTTTGATCTCTTCTTCGCTTTCTTCTTCTGAACTGGAATCGATTTCTATTGGCTCTGGTTGGGATTCTGGCTTCTTCTCTTTGGGTTGTCCAAATGTGACACCACTGGCCGTGGCACCAGTGTTAGATGGCTTGAATGAGAATGATGCTGCTGCTCCTGGTGCAACTGGAGCTGGAGCTGCGTCATCTTTCTTGATATTAAATCCGAAAGTTGGTGCGGTAGTTTTGCCGAAATTAAATGTTGTAGATGGTTTGGTAGCAGTTTCATGATTGGTAGATTTTGGAGGGTTAAATGAAAACGTAGAAGCAGGAACTGTAGAAAGTTTCTGTTGATTCGATCCCATTAATGTAAATGATGTAGTTGGAGCAGGCTTTGCTTGCGGAATAGCAGATGCATTAAATGTATTAGTTGAAGTAACGCCCGAGGCCAGTTCTTCCCCAATTTTCTTATAATAATTGATATATTTCTCAGCGACCGATGTGAAATCAACCACAGTATTTGGGGTATTCATTCTATTAACAGCTTGTACAAACATTTCATTCAATGCTCTAATTTTACTATTCTTGTCAATGGTCGTTGTATTAGTGGTTGTAAAAGCAGGTTGGGTGGCTGGTTTGGAAAGGAATCCAAAAGCATTACCAGAAGCAGCAGGTACCTCTCCTGCTGGTTTAGCTCCAAATCCACCAAATCCTTTGAATCCATTAGAGTCTGCAGCAGCAGTACCTATCCTTCCTTTCGGTTTTAAGATCTTTCTCCTGGCTAACACATCCGATGATGCAACCTGTACTTGTTGGGGTTCATCTCCCTCACTATCTCTATCAAAGCTATCCTTTGTGATTTGACCATCTGCGACTCTTTTGGCCATTTTAATCAATTGGTCGGGTGCGTGGGGGAATGTTATATTGGTGATTTGTGTAGTTGTTTACGTTTTGAGATGATGCCGATCAGTTCAGAACGAATGTATGGTGGCAGATGGGGTTGGAGCCCTAAACATTCTACACCCGCACGTGAGGGATTTTTTTTAGACAACGCACGTGATCAAATTTAAGTATTGCGGCTTGGATGTTTTCTCTCACACATTGAAAATTTTTCTTAGTGATCTCTCTTTTGTATGGGCGACGCAGTAAGCAGAGGGAAAAAAATTATCATCAAAAGAATACATTTTTATGGACTTGTTAATTTCTCTCTTTCTTTCTTCTTGTTGTAAGAATCATCAGTAAAAGTATGTGATAACGATGATAGAGAGTAAATGGAAAGAGGACTAAGATGCAAAGCAACTACTGAATAGTGAAGGATATAACAACTATTATTCATATACAGAAAATGAAGTAATCGTTTCAATCAAGTTCATCGTAAATGATAGAAAAACAGACAACAGCAAGGCTACTACCGTTATACAATTCAAACAATGAAATAGCAATGTGTTAAATAAGGAAGACGAAGTATATCACCTAGATGATAGAAATTAGAATGAGTTATCTTTAAATTATTTAACTACCACTGTCATTTTAAAGTCTATTTCAAAATATCCTAAAATATCGCAATTAACATTATGGAAGATGTTTTTGAACTTCCAAACCGCTGCTATGATTTTGCAAATCTTAATGTCCTTTCCAGTCCTATATAAATATTGTCCGTATACTAACATTTCCTTTTTAGAATGGCTCCAAAGGTTCAACAAACTAAGGCTGCTAAGGCTGCTGCCGCTTTAGCCGGTGGTAAGAAAGGTAAAAAGAAGTGGAATAAGGGTAAGGTTAAGGATAAGGCTCAACACGTTGTTGTCTTAGACCAAGAAAAATACGACAGAATCTTAAAGGATGTCCCAACTTACAAATACGTTTCCGTCTCTGTCTTAGTTGATAGATTAAAGATTGGTGGTTCTATTGCCCGTGTTGCTTTAAGACAATTAGAAGACGAAGGTATCATCACCCCAGTCTTAAAACACTCCAAGCAAGCTGTCTACACCCGTGCTCAATAGATATTTTTGATTCTATAAAGTTTAAAATTTCTGTATAATGGATCTATAATTTTTATTTTTCACGAAACCACATTCACATAATAAATATATAAAATTTGTATAATATTTTGAAGTATTCTATTACCCAATTGTAGAAATGTAAATATGAAATATACTATACGTGTTGTATATTATAAAAGCAATATTGCCTAGAGTAGCCGTACCCGTGTGAGATCAAATTTCATCTCGCAGGGCCAACAGTTCGCAGTATTTTTGAATGTTCCGAGTTTTTCCTACCACACCCATTACTAACTCACACCATCTCCTTTTGCACAACCCACCATGTTAGCAACTATACGGCCTTCTTTATTATCTAGGGCGACTACAAGAGGGTTATATGTACCCACCAGAAGCTTCTTTGGTTCCTCGAAACCCCAAGAATACCAACTTTCAAAAATCTTAAATGGGACTCCTAATCAACTTTACAACATCGTTAGTGAAGTAAGTCAATATCAACAGTTTGTCCCCTTTGTCGAGGAATCCTACATCTCACAACGTTGTACTAAGAACACCCCAACTAGAGCTGGATTACAAGTTGGTTGGAAAGATATAACTGAACGATTTGAATGTGTATTAACTTGTCATGAAAATAAATCTGTACATTCAAAATCAATTCAATTAGACTTATTTGAAGATTTAGAAACCAAATGGGTATTTAATCATATTGGGAATAATAAATGTAAAGTTGATTTTACTTTAACTTATAAATTTAAGAATCCAATTTATGATAGAATTAGTTTTATGTTTGCACCTCAAGTAAGTGAAATTATGATTAAAGCTTTTGAAAAGAGGTTAATTCAAATCAAAACACAAGAAGCCAAGGAGAAATATTCTCTTAAGAAGGAAGAAGCACAAACAGAGAGTGCTGTTTGAAGGAGTATGATGCCTTTGAGTGTTAGATAAAGCCTTATAGATTGTATATAGATTTGCATTCAGATTTTAGAATAAAATTAATAGAGAATTACGATTAAATGATAGCATTTGGCTGGTAAGCGAAACCTTTACTCCTTCATGTCGCCACAACAATTACAAAGTCGTTTCCGGTTCTTTTGGACGTGTCTGACCATAAGGTGAGATTTTCCAATTCTAGATCTCATGTCAACGGTCCGCAACTGTCATAGTTTCCCATTGTTGATTTGAACGATTCGTATCAGCCTTATTGTATTAGGCTTCTCGGAAATTTTCATTGTAATTGAACTAGTCAAGTAGGAGATCGAATAAAACATGAAGTGGTTTCCGAAGCTAGATCGATTGGAAAGACTGTTTATTCGTTCTCATGGCCAGTCTTGGTGAGCTATATCCTTCTGTCAAGATTTGATCATTCCCAAGTGTGGCACTTTGAACAATCTTGAATCGCTCACACTTCAACTTGAGTTTGTAATCAAGGAAATTAATCATTTCTCTTTTCACATGGCCTTATTGCTATGCTGTTGACCTCATCGACCCAACGGCGATATCGATCCGTAGTCAGGGATACCCAGAGAATAAACCAAGCTCACGTAACGTTCCTTGGTTTGTTCCCCTCCGATAATACTCCAATTCTTGGTTAGGGTCCCAGCCGCTAAATTATATTTCCAACAAAAAACGGTTAAAACTCCCCGCATTTACATATACATGTAATAATAGAAAAACCCTCAAAAACCCACCAACAAAGAAAAGTTACAATAAAATGTTCCCCGGAGATTAATAAACGAAAACAACCACTTTCATTTCTTATTGTTTTGCAGCCAATGAACAACTACGATAAATACCCAATAATAATTTTTACGAACCCCCCCTCCTAAATCAACAAGACTATTACCCTAAAAAAAGAAATCATATTACTAACTAGAAGCTTGTTCCCGGGTGTAAAAAAAATATTGCTCGGTTGTAAAACAAAGAAAGAAAAAAAATAAAAAATGTCGTAAAACGCATGTCATCAGATTTATTGGCGTTATCAATGATTTATTTTTTATTTTTTTCTTGATTTATTGATTGATAAAAAATTGCAACCCTCATCAAATCTTCTGATCTGCAGGCTGGTGATGATGGCTATATATTTTTTTCTGATTTGATGTTGTTTCGAAAATTGAGGCGGCTTTTTGATGCAATGGAGAAAGATCATCATGTCTGCTTTTGATTTATACAGTCTAGATAGCAAAAACAACAAAACTGTTGAATTTGCCTTGTGGCTTTGCAAGCTGTGCATTTCCTTTCCTTCGGTTGCTAGGCAACTTTGTACAGATGGAAAAGTACATTCATGCAAATCAACTTATCTGTCAAAAAACCAAGAATATTTCGGAAATACAAAAATAAAAAGAAAGATAAAGGGTTAACTGATACGGAAGAAGAAAGAAAATAACAAGAGATAAGCATAAGATAAAATCAATTCTTGCAATAAAAAATGAAGCATGTATTAGTAAAAAAACCTCTCTAAGTAAAAACCCTCCTATATAACCATAGCTAAAAAAAATGAATGTATATCTCTCTATAAACCTTGATGCGAAATATAGTAACAACGATAGTAATAATATAATGTCTATAACACAGTTATAACCCAATAATATAATATAATGTAATAGTAAAATGCAAGCATATATCAAATTTTGATTGAAATGAAATTTTAAATAGGTACTAATCCATTAGTACCCACATTATAAACTCTTAAATAATGATTTGGAATTCTTTCCAATTCTATTGAAACTCTTCGCCTCATCTTTGTCAGTTCAGATGTTCCTGCGCTAACTAATTGTTGAGTTGAAGTTGCCATAACCAACGATTTCTCAAGCCAGGAATCATCCATATTTAAAGCACGAATACAACGAAGACATTGTTTATAATATCTCTTTTTGGATGGAGTTTTATCAGGTGCTGGACTCCATTTATAATCGGAATCAGAACTGAAACTCAAAGGATAATGTGGTGATACTGCTGAATGGTCATAATCATCAGAAGTTTCCCCATCGTCAACATCTTCTTCCTCTTCGTCGTCCGATTGATGTAATTCAGACATATCTTGAATATCTTCTTGGCCGTCATCTTGTTGTTCGTCAATGGTATCAAATTCGCCATCCTCTTCATATTCCCCTTCTTCCTCTATAATCTGTGATGGAAGTGGTAAATTTGGATTTGAATGAGATCTAGTAATTTGATTAATGTATGGTGGAACAATTGGAGTATCCTTTTTTGATGCTCTTGATAATTTAGATTTCAATTTTGAAAATTTCCCTCGAAATGGATCTGAAGATGAACGTAAACGAGTCACAATTGAACTAGCACTAGAAGAAGAAGAAGATTCTTGATTTCTTCTTCTTCTCCTTCTTGGAATGGTTCTATATTTTGGAAGTTCACGTTCATCGACATCTAAAGAAATATCCTTGCCAACATTAAGAGCTAAATTCCAATCAATTAAAGCTTGAGTAGTTTCAAAAGCCAACAACATTTGTTCATTCTCTAACCGTACTCTTAAAACATTTTCTCTTTTTTTATAATCAGAAGCTAATCCAACTTTAGCATGTTGTAAAGAATATGATCTAATTAATCTATTTTTAAATATTCCCAACAGTTTAATCAAAGTATACAATTGTAAATCATGTTGATCAGTAAATGATGAATTTAATCTCTTAGTTTCTTTAGTCGGCATTTGTTGTAATATTGAAGCTTTAAATTGAACTAATTGATTTTCAAATATAGTTGGTATAGCATAAAAATTCACTTGAGTTGAATTAATTTCAGCAATTTGATATTTCCACAGTCTATTAGCTGAAACTTCATACGGATTTATATATTCCAATTTCCGAGCAATAACTCCAATCTTATATACCGATGGGCTATATGCAGGTGGGGAACAAGATTTTGAAGAAAAAGAAATAGGTGCGAAAAAATCATCAAAATTTGTAGTTGCAATATTTGGACCTAATGAAGATGAAACAGGAAATCTTGGACATCCTCCTGGAGCTAATGATTGATATTCGGGTGGGTATACTGGATTAGGTTCAATGATTCTTAAATATTCATCTTGTTTTGAACTAAAATATAGTTGTTTATTATCATCCGGATATATGGAAATAGGAGTTGGCGGAGTCAGTGGACGTTGATGGTGTAGTGACAAATCATCTGAAGAAGATGAAGCTGAAGATGATACACTATCTACTCTACTTGGTCGTTGTTTATGACGGCTGATCTGTTGTTGTTGTCGTTGTTGTTGTTGATGTAGTATAATTGGAGTTAATGGTTGGGTATGGATTGTCATTGGTCTACCTGAATAAATATCGATTTCACTTGATAAGGTAGCTGTACAACTCATATTGACATTTTATATGATTGATCTCTGAAACAAAAGTGGATGATGAATTACCTATAACTTCTCTCTAGTAGTATAAAATTAAAAAACAATAGTAAAATAAAAACAGGTGGAATTGATTTGATTCTTATATTTTTGAAACTGTGGTTGCTTGAAAAGGGGTAAACTATTTGTATGGTAATACTGACAGTTTATAAAAAATATTATTTTTTATTCTCAACTGTTGTGAAAGTTTCACAAAAAAATAAATTATTAATTAAATTAAACTTTTATTTTCTATTTGAGTTTCTTTTTTTTGTTCCCTTTAAAATTTTTTTTTTTTTTTTGCTGCAATAGAATTTTAAAAATTTCTTAAACCTGCGGTTGGTACACCGTAATTTGTTTTTAAAAATAGATAGGAGACTATTAAGATAACACACACTCTCACAAGCCTTTACCTTTCTTGGAAATGTTAAAGAAATTATAGGAGCCAAGTAATTAAGTGAAAACGTTTTAATCTATTTATCTAATAGAGGGTATATCTTCTGATATTTATATTAATTTACTCTAATTTACTACAGCCTCACCGATTTCCTCCCATTCCCATAATATCCGAGTTAATTAATTAAACCGATATATTAATTTCAAATAAAAAAATAACTGACCATTAATTCCATAGTGTACCGAAAGATTTTATGTATGATTTAAAATTGTAAATTAAGTTCCATTTACGCCAAGGTAAGTAACGTACGACATCTCATTATATTGGTATTTTTTTTTTGATAAACCCATTGAGAGAGACATTTTCATTTGAAAGTATTAACCGATTTCATTATCCTTTCATTTTTATTTATCATAGATAAATAATTCCAAATAGAGAAAAGGTAGAGCCGTACTACAAATACTAAAATCATGTGCATACTTCTTTACTTCTTTGCTTGTGATTTGAACTTTGAAATGGCTTTGATTCTGAATTTTTTATAGGGGTGGACGATTCCTAAAAAAAAATAGGTTTGGTTGACTATCCCCTCAATTACCAAAATGTGTCAAAACTCAAACTTTTTTTTTATTTTTCACGTCTCCTGTTCCTTCCCTGACTTCTTGCTTACAAACACATGAAATTACTCTCCATTATAATACTTAGTCATCACATATATCTAACATCTCCCCCTCCATCGTACAATAGATTGAAAAGGGAATGTATAACGTAATAGAACTGTTATTTTCAATTATAACAATCAATCGTTGCTAATTAGAAAACAAAAAGAAAATGAATACAATTGTTGTAAGGCTTTGCGCAAATTTCTAGCCATACGTCATATTTGTTCTGAGTCAAAATTATTAAGCAAAAGCAAATAGAAATCATTCAAATTTCGAGCGCATGGTCTCCATGGGGGGCCTTCCCCACCTCTTCGTCATTTACGACGACGTGGGCTCCTACAGCATAACTAAAAATATCAATAGAACAATCCCTGCTTACTAAACGTACATATAAACTTGCTTCCCCCTCCGTCTCGTCACATTTGATTTCTCAATAGAACAATACTGCTGACTAAACGTACATGTCAACCTCTTCCCCCTCTCTATCTCATCGCGTTTGACTTCTCCGCGGCCTTAAGCGGCCCCACTATTTTTTACATTAAGGTTAAGGTGCGCTTACACATTTCCTATTTTCACTTGGTACTAATCCTTTTTTTTGTTCAAAAGTACCCCTAAACTAAAGTTTAAATCAGACAGTCCGGTTTTTAGATCCTCCATAACTGTCAGTTTGGTCGGGGGCTCGTATTCCTCTCTCCATTTGCCCCCTCATTCGGCAACAAGCCAAAAAAAAAGAACAATTTACAACCGTCAAAAGCCAAAAAGTTTTAACGCACGCCTATTATGTAAAAAAAAAAAAAAGACAGCGAAGAAAAATGTCTTCGTCGGATCGCTATCTTTGTTCCAATTAGGAAATTTTAATTTTTTTTGTCGCCATCACCATATCACGCGCGCATCATCCGGTTATTCCCCTAACTACCGAGCAAAGAAAAATTGTCTGTTTACACCTCGGAACTATTCCTGTTTCATCCGCGAGATAAATGTGAGTCAAAACTTCTTCCATAATATTCACACGACTGGAGTTTAAAGTTTGTCTTGGTTAGAGTGGAAGTATGGGGTGACTCCCAGTGCATGGTATACGTAGTCAAATGTGTGATTTGTGTCACATATTAGTGAAACACATTTGAAATGTGTGAATTTAAGAACTATTTTGATCCCCAAACATCCGCGATAGTCTGGAGATAAGGATTAATCCTTGGAATAAACACACCGCCTAGAATAATATTATTATTAATAAGCCATGACATCATGTATATTCCTAATTCCGGTTATTCTTGAACACCGCTTATCTCCATTCTTCCTTTCTCTTTACCTCGATTGCATAGTAAAGTGATCGCTTCCCGGTATCAATAGAAATCTATGACCAGTAGTCAATCACCGCTTTAGCCGCTTTCGATATTTTTTTACCTGCATCCTTTAACCTTCTCTTTCATTTAAGTTGTTTTTGCACGATTTATAACTCGGATAGTTTGATAAATTGGATAGAACGGCAACTTTTTGGAACATTTTTTTTTTACAAATATCGCGGATGGCATTGGCTGCAATTTTTTATTTTTTGCGTGTGGTTGCAAATTTCATGTCTTTCTTTCCGAGGCTATTTTGCGTTTGTACCATGATCGGCCCACGGAACTAGTTTTGTTAGTTTAAACACGATGAAGCCAGATCCAACCAACTTCATTGGGATTGTAAAGGTCAGCTAATACATTTGATGAGAGAAACCTTTTACATGCATATACGCAAAAAAGAAAGTTCTTTAGTTGTAGACTCTCCCATTGAGAAAGCCTTTCTGTACTGTCTAGTAATCCCTCCCTGGAATGTCTCAATGCCGGGATTACTTCAGGCATTAGATAAAATTAGCTGGAATATTGATTAAGCGGTTTGTGGATAATAAAATTTCCATGATGCAATCATATGTCGATATATGCAGCTCTCTGTGACTCCTGAGAAATTCTTTTGAGATTAGATCGAAGTTTTTACTTGGTGAAATCTAATATTTGTCAAAATTGATATAGACCGCGACCTTTTTGGATGTCACGAGGGGGGCAGAATCTGGTGATGTTATTTCGTCTATGTTCACGGTCCACGACCAACTCAATGTTATCGATCTGGACGTTTCGATGAAGGCAATACCCCGGTTGACAATGAATCAATTAGATCCGACAGATCTGTTCGAAACAGAGAAGCTTTGGAAGACATTAGAGAACGCTTTGAGAAATACCAGGCAGAAGATTCCAACAGGTTTAAATCATCAGAATTTCTTCAAGCAATTTGGTATTCCAACCGAAAACTGATGTGCAAGTCATCAGCACCTATTATCTAAACTTAAAATAAGTGATTTACCCTTGCGTGATGATTTCAAAAAGGTTGAAACGGTTCTACTACATAGAAGCTTTGAAAAATCTGATCGAAGATGAAAACACAACTTAAATGCATTGTATTAAATTCTCATTTCCATTTCCACTGGATATTTTCGAAGGCTAGTAAGCTTGTTGGGATGGAATCATTGTGTTTATTGCCTGTTGTTTAGCAATGATTTAGTCAAATCTTAACTAGTATCAGCTGGAAGTGTCGCTTGGTTGCAACTCTGCTCTGGTTCAACAACACAAATTAACATATATATAAAGTAGTGAAAGTAATGAATGCAAGCAATTGCTAAGGTGTATAATATCATTCCAGACATATCACTTAGCTTGATTATTCTCTGTACTTAGTTCATACTGCCTCTTGTCTTAAGTTCTTAACTGAAGAGCTTCAAGATTGATATTTTTTCGCAGTTGTTCCAGAATTTACTAACCAAATTTGCAGCATAAATTTTAGGCGCCACAAATAAGAAATGTAGATTTATCCTTTTCTTTTCTTCTTTACATTTCACCATCAAATGCAAGTCAAATTCAACTACATTTATTATTCATCCTATTCCTACAATCAAGTAATATTCATAGTTATGTTTATTGTTATCATTGAATCATTTTCCAAAAAAATCCAATTCATTATCCTTCAATAATATTACATATTCCATTAATCATTACTTTTAAATCAAAGCTCCGGCCGCTATCATTATCAGAGATTAAAAAATCACTTTTGACAAATCAACATGGAGATGAGGAATCAGGGATGATACAATTTGGAGAGAGTTGGGCTGAATTTCACGAATCGGTTAAATGCTTTCATACTAGTCGACTAGCTAGCGGCTAATTTGTGTGTTGGTTTTTTTATATGATTTCAGAGAAGAGGGCTTGACTTAATCTAGGTTGTTCAACTGGGGGTATCAAACTTTCCATTCATTTGAATTATCCGCTTGGGCAACGGTTAACTTCTATGATGGATATAATGGGTACTGGGGGGCTATTTTTTGGGATATACTGGTGCATTGCACTTTCCATTCATTTGAATTATCCGCTTGGGCAACGGTTAATTA